CGGGGGGGGGGGGTGCGTGCGGAGAAAGACTGGGGACTGAGGCTGCTGAGGATTCTTAGAAGAGGGCTGCTCCACAAATGGAGACAGGGGCGCGGGGGCGCAGAAGAAGGCAGAGTGAGGCGGATGGCCTGGAGGTAGCGGGTGAGGGACTGGAGAGGAGGGGAGAGCGACGGGGGAGAGAGAGAGGCTGATGGAGAGATGATGGAGAGGGACCGCGCCTGGGGAGGTTATGGAAGGAAGCCGTGGGAAGACGGAGGGAAGAACGCCGAGAGCCCAGAGGGATGCTAGCCCTGGGGGCGCGCGAGAGGAGCGGGGAGGAGAGGAGCGGAGGGAAAGTAAGGTAGCCAGGCCGGGCTGGGCAGCATGGAGCGAGTAAAACCAAACCAAAGCAAAAATGCTTACTTTTCAAGCAGTGATTTTCAACTGGTGTGCCGCAAGTAATTTTAAAACATGCAATACCTGACTATTTAGTGCGGGCACTGACCTCTTTTCCCTTAGATTGTCAAATAAAAAAATATGACAACATCTAACACAACAATCACCATCTGGTGTGAGTGACAAAAATTATATCGATTTTTTGTGAGATCGCCCCCTCTTCCTGCCCTCCCTCTGCCCCACCTGGGGCTCCCACGGGTCCCGGCTGAGCTCGCGCCCGGGGACCGGTGGAGTCCCGGAGAATGCCCGCTTGGGGTCCCAGGAACCGGGTAAAGTGCCCCGGTCCCACCAGTTAGGTTCTGGTGGATTAATTGTTAGGGTTGGGGTTGGGGATGCTCAGAGAAAAAGTGGGGTGGGGGTGAGAATAAAGCCTGGATGAAGGGCCTTAGACGCCAAATTCAGCAAACACTTGCTTTCTTCCTGGGGTGGCGTGATTGGATGCAGTTTAGGATGCTCTCTGCGTTTCCTGTGCGCGGTTTGCCCATCCAAACAGATCGCGAAATATTTGCAAGTGGATCGTGTATTAGACTTCCCTGGGCTCGGTGGTCGCCAGAAATTCGGGCATGGGTGTGGGGATGGATGTACGGTGCAGATAATCTAATTCCAGGCCTGATTGGGCATGGGGGATCGGAATGAAGCTAATTCAATCCCACCCGGAGTGAAATGAAAATGTCAGGGCCGGAGGGTGGCTAGAAGACATGGGACATAGTTTGAAATCCAATTTAACTTTTCTGAGCCTTGGTCTTCTCTGACAATTGGATGTCAGCAAGCAGTCAAAATCAAGAGAGGAAGGATTACCCTCTGGCTAGTGGGGAAGGGAAGGTAGGTACAAGGGTCTCTCCTGGGTAAGAGATTGAAATCTAAGTGGCAAGGGTCAAGTGGGCAGACATTTATTTACAGCAGGCAAGAAGTGGAATCCAGAAAAATCACTTGAGAAAGGGCAACGAGACTTGTCTAAGCAGTACCCAGAAAACCCAAAGTTCTAGAAGGCAGGGTTTTAGCACCAATGACCTAACCTGGGGTCTGTTTGCTCCCCACCTTCTTTCATGTCCCTCCTCAGGTTGAAAAGGGAGTAGGGCAGTGGGCTAGGGGTCCCTGGTGTGGGCATGTAACAGGGCAAGAGACCAGGTCTGCCTTATGAATGTAACTTTTAACCTTTAGGTTACTGATGGAGAGCTACACTTTAGGGTGATAACTATTACATTTGGTGGAACCCCCACATGAGAGAGATGGGAGATGATGCTAATAATCTAATCTCAGATCTGGGAGATGGGATTATGGAGAGAAAACTAATCTTTGGTCTTTGCGCATGAAGAAATTAGCCAAATCTGCCTTAGTTGGTTTGGCTCAGTGGATAGAGCATTGGCCTGTGGGTTTGATTCCGGTCAAGGCCACG